AATAACATATTCCTCATTTCAGTCTGAGACCTTACCAGAAACACCTTTACTATCCATACTTGTACCAACAGTTTCTACAAGGGAATCTAGGGTTTTTCTAGCCTGTTTCTCATAAATCTTCCAGTTATATCCATCACCCAGTTCCAAAACCACTTTCACATTTTTATGTGTTTGTTACATCAGCACTCTGCATTTAGTTAGCATTCTCTAGTGAAACAGAAGTATTAGGATATGTAGATATGTATATGAAGTCATATATACATGGCTTTATACTAAGCATGGGCTTCCCAGATGGTTCAGTAGTAAAGAATCCGCCTGCCAATGGAGGAGACGTGGCTAGACGTGATCCCTAGTCCGGGAAGATTCCCCTGGAGAAGGAATGGCAACCCACTCCAGAATTCTTGCCTGGAAAATCCCATGGACGGAGGAGCCTGGTAGGCTACAGTCCATGTGGTTGCAAAGAGTCAGACACGACTTAATGGCCAAACAACAACAATAATACTAAGCAATTATAACACATGATTATGGAGGTTGACAAATCCTGGGATCTTCAGTGGAGCTGCAGGAGAGCTGATGGTGGTGTTCCAGTCTGAAAGCTGGCAGGCTCAAGACCCAGGAAGAGCAAATGTTTTAGTTTGAGTCAAAAGGCAGAAAATGGCTTGGAAAGTAAAGAATCCGCCTGCAATGCAGGAGATATGGATTCGATCCCTAGGTCAAGAAAATTCCCTGGAGAAGGAAATGGCTACCCAACCCAATATTCTAGCCTGGAGAATCCCCATGAACAGAGGAGCCTGAGGGCTACAGTCCGAGGGGTCACCAAGAGTCAGACACGACTGAGTGACTAAGCACACACAAAGGCAGGAAAAGGATGATGTTTCAGCTCAATTGTAATCAGGTGAGAAAAATTCTCTTACTCCCAAGCCTTCTTGTCCTAGTGAGGCTCTCAACTATTTGAATGAGACCATCCACAGTAGAGAGGGCAATCTGTTTTACCTAGTCTCCTGTTCAAATGTTAATTTTATGCAGAACACCCTCCCCGAAACACTCAGAATAATGTTGGACAAAGTATCTGGGTACCTGTGGCCAAGTCAAATTGATATGCAAAAGTAACCATCACAGGGAATTTCCTAGTGGACCAGGGTTTGATCCTTGGTCAAAAAAAAAAAAAAGATTAAAAAGTAACTATCACAGTTATTACCTGTGCTATTTATTATAGCCATTCTAGTGGATGTGAAATACTGTGTGTGTGTTTTCAGTTTGCATTCCCGTAATGGTTAGTGGTGTTGAGCATATTTTCATGTGCTTTTTACCCATTTGTATAAATTTGGTGAATGATCAATTCATATCTGTTGCCCATTTAAAAACCTGGATTGTTTGTCTTCTTATTGAGCCTAATCTGTGTATTTAAAATTTAATTTAATTTAATTTTTTTTCATTTATTTTTATTAGCTGGAGGCTAATTACTTTACAATATTGTGGTTTTTGCCATACATTGACATGAATCAGCCAACCAAGCCTTCTTGTCCTAGTGAGGCTCTCAACTATTTGAATGAGACCATCCACAGTAGAGAGGGCAATCTGTTTTACCTAGTCTCCTGTTCAAATGTTAATTTTATGCAGAACACCCTCCCCGAAACACTCAGAATAATGTTGGACAAAGTATCTGGGTACCTGTGGCCAAGTCAAATTGATATGCAAAAGTAACCATCACAGGGAATTTCCTAGTGGACCAGGGTTTGATCCTTGGTCAAAAAAAAAAAAAAAGATTAAAAAGTAACTATCACAGTTATTACCTGTGCTATTTATTATAGCCATTCTAGTGGATGTGAAATACTGTGTGTGTGTTTTCAGTTTGCATTCCCGTAATGGTTAGTGGTGTTGAGCATATTTTCATGTGCTTTTTACCCATTTGTATAAATTTGGTGAATGATCAATTCATATCTGTTGCCCATTTAAAAACCTGGATTGTTTGTCTTCTTATTGAGCCTAATCTGTGTATTTAAAATTTAATTTAATTTAATTTTTTTTCATTTATTTTTATTAGCTGGAGGCTAATTACTTTACAATATTGTGGTTTTTGCCATACATTGACATGAATCAGCCATGGATTTACATGTGTTCCCCATCCCGATCCGCCCTCCCACCTTAAAATTTAATTAAAAAAAAATTCCAACAAACAAGCAAAACTCACCCATTTTATTAACCCTCATGTGGTTTGTAATTTATCTTTTTCTAGTGAGTTCCTGTGTGGGAACTTTAAGGGCCAGGGTGTGTGTATTTCTCCTGGGAGGATCTGTATTTACCTCTGCCTGGAACTCAGATATACTACAGATGTAGATCCAATTTCAATTAAGCCCTCTGTATAGTTTCTAGGCCAAAGAGATAATGTCATTTTCTGCCATTAATCTTGCTGTAGCTCTGTGTGACTTTATTTTCTCAACAACAATTCAGTATTTGTGGTCAGAATGGAAATACTTATTGGAGACAATAGGCCAGAGTCTTTGATGTCACCACTGCCTGGAAAAATCCGGACTGTATATAGTGACAGGGTTGTCCTCATCCTGAATTTTAGAGCCTGGCAAGGCCAAGTGGATGGAACTTGGTGCTATGAAAATATACCACCTTATATCATCTGTAATTTAATTTTAAATACTTTAAACAGTACAATATGTGTGTAGTATTTTAAATCAATATCCAAGGGGTTGTTAATTAACAATTGAAGTGCCCTGTTGTGGAATATAAACTCCAGGAGAAGTTTATATTTTGAAAGTTTCCAAGCAGATGTCCACACTTTAGAGCTTCAACCATCTTTATTTCCAGTCAACACTGAGACTGTGGATTTCCCTTTGGTGAAATAACTAGTATTTGTTATGCGTGGATTGGCTAGAAATGTTGTATAGGATACTTCTATACCCTGCTGAAGCTGAAGCTCCAATACTTTGGCCAATTGATGTGAACAGACAACTCACTGGAAAAGACCCTGATGCCGGAGAAGACTGAAGGCAGGAGGAGAAAGGGGCGACTGAACACCACCACCACCAACAATATCTTGTCTACTTTTGCATGACACGATATAGAAATCTAGAGAATCCAATGTGTATATCCTTTGCAATGATGCTCTTTCAAAACTGACAGCTTCAGAAAACTGAGAATTGCTATTGTGAAAAGCTGCTGAGTCCTGCCCCTAAAATATTGTTTCCTAGGTATGGAACTATTTTTGAGTTGTTACTAAATGTTTGCATGGGCAACAGAATTCAGTATACATGTATACATGTTATTATAACACTGTAAAGTTGTAAATTAGGAAGGTTGTGAGGTAGAAGAACTTAAATATAACGTTAAACAAATTACATCTATAAAGAAGGAAGGGGTATCCTGCCAATTAGATTCCTGCTTTGGAAAATCTCCTGCTCCAATAATTTTCAAATTCTATTCTGATTTGGAAAGGAGAGGAGCGTCCTCGAATGTAGGAATTAAAGCAAGGTATGAGATATCTGAGGCTTGGAAAAGACTTCTCTAGCCCTATTCCATAAACAGTAGTTGCATGTCTCTACAGCATCAGTCAAGGTCTCTGGAAGCTTGACCTCAACCACCTCAGAAACCCGGGGGTTGGAGAGGGGTGCAGTTATTTGCCAAAATAATTGAGGAGGGAGAGAAATTTTTATGTCTTTGGAAAATATACTGTAGCTGCAGAATTAACCACCAATGCTTTTACATAATTTGAAGATAGCTCCTCTTGGCTCACAGATTCAGGTATCTATAAATAATAATGATAGACAACATTTATGGAAGGCAATCTTGTCCTTGTGCAAAGTATCTTACACACATGCATGTACATTTCCTACGTGGCCCAGTGGTAAAGAATCCATCTGCCAATGCAGGAGAGGTAAGAGATTCCTGGTCAGTCTCTGGGTGGGAAAAATCCCCTGGAGTAGGAAATGGCAACCTCTTCCAGTATTCTTGCCTGGAAAATTCCATGGACAGAGGAGTCTGGCAGGCTACAGTCCATGGGGTCACAAAGAGTTGGACACTACAGAGCATACACATGTAATTTCCATACAACCCTATGAATGGATGATTTTATTCCAGTTTTATATATAAAAATAGTGGGGCACAGAGACTGCATAATTGTTTGACTATAACTCAAGCTCATTTCTATGCACCACCATCCTCAATATCTTCTAAAGGGGAAAGCTATGCCTGTGCGTGCTCAGTCATGTCAGACTCTTTGCACTCCCATGGATTGTAGCCAGCCAGGCTTCTCTGTCCATGGGATTCTCTAGGCAAGAATATTGGAGTGGGTTGCCATTTCCTCCTTCAGGGAATCTTCCTGACCCAGGGATCGAACCTGCGTGTCCTGTGTCGCCTGCATTGCCAGAGTGATTCTCTATAGCTTGAGCCATCCGGGAAGCCCCAGTGGGAAGGTTGAAAGCGAAGGTGAAAGTCTCTCAGTCGTGTCCGATTCTTTGCCACCCCATGGACTATACAGTCCATGGAATTCTCCTGGCCAGAATACTGGAGTGGGTAGCTGTTCCCTTCTCCAGGAGATCTTCCCAACCCAGGGGTCAAGCCCAGGTCTCCTGCACTGCAGGCGAATTCTTTACTAGTTGAACCATGAGGGAAGCCTCAATGGGAAGGTTGAGGAAAGTCAATTTCTACATGAGCATGTAAGCTAACTCTGTTTACATGAGTTGCTCTCAATAAGAGAGTCGGGATGTTTTGAAAGCGTAACACACTTCAACGCTTAATTTCACTCCTAACTTTTGGACCCCCTACTTCCCTCCCCCACTTTGAGCATCCCTTCCGGGTGAACCTCGCCGCCACCCCCGCATGAGACTGCTGGGAATGGGAGAGGGAGGGGCTCTTTGCAGGACAGCCAATGAGATGGCTGGTTCTTGTGAATGGCACGTCATTACGCCAATGGGTTCAGTCCCTGAGGCCTCGCGAGAGGACGGGAACTCGTGGTCTGGAGCATGTGGGATTTTGGCGTGGTGGGAACGTTGAGCCCGGGCGTCTCCTGAGGCGCAACCAAGCTGCTCAGTGGGGTCCAGCGCCGGTGAGAGGACGGGACGCAGGTGTGGAAGACCAGGGAAGCAGAGGTCGCTCTGCTACAGGTCAAGGTGCGCTCACACTCAAGTTCTTGGTGGTAAGCTGGGGTCCCTGTGGCCCTCTCCACCCCTCACCTTGGGAAAGCTCGGAGTCTGTGGGCCCTTGGGTGGAGGCTGGGCCTGAGGCGGGGGCGGGAAGTCGTTATTTGAGGTTGGGGGTGTAGGAGGAAGGCAGGCCCTTGAAAAGGTGAAAAGGAGGAGGGAGGAGGCTCTTGGCAGGGAGGTGGTTGAACGCGTTGAGTGTTCCTTGGGCAGGAACAGTGGGCCAGACCGCTGGCAGAATCTTGGTTTGGGGAATGATGCTTTCTCCATGTGGAAGAAGCGTAGGGGCCTTCCCTTCTGGTTACATCCCAGTCATAGACCCCAGTCTGGAGCTCGCACCTGGAGGAGTGTGGAACATAGTCCTCGCCTGTCCTGGGACCTGTCTGTCCTGGGACTCTTCCAGCTTGGGCCTTAGAGTCAGCCAGCTATTTGTTAACTAATCAAAGGAGAAAATCCACAGTAAGGGAGGGCTTTCTGGAGGAGGTGCTTGACTCTGTAGAAGTGATGGTGGAGGTGAGAGGGGTGAAGAAAGAAGAGGATTCCAGAAGTCCTGTAATCGGTGGGTGTCACGGTGCCTCTCATTGTGTACCAGTCAGACTGCTAATTGCTCTGGTTTCTTCCAGTGGTGGTAGGAAGGTGTGAGCCAGGAGGTCAGGCTAACTGAAAAGGAGTTTGAACAATTATAGGGGAGAATTCTAGTAGCCTTTGAGGAGGAGGCATGCCTTTCTGTTTTAGTGTAAAAAATAATAGTTTGTATAAAAAAGTTTTGCCAGATCCTGAACCACCTTCATCTGTAAAATTGACTTAGAAATTGTGTGTCAGCCTTTTCTTTTATGTGCATGACCTGATTTCTCAGTAATTTATAGTTAAGACGGGTTAGTGAAAATTAAGAAGAGGCTTACTCGTTAGTTACAGAAGCTTCTTTGGGGATTGGGGTGAGTCAGGACGGTGAAAAGGAGCCCCTGAAAGAAGGAGTCCTGGGCCTTTGCTAGGGGTCCAGTAGTTAAGACTCTATGCTTCCACTTCAGGGGACCTAGGTTCGATTCCTAGTTGGGGAACTAAGATCCTATATGCTCCTGAAAGTGAAAGTTGCTCAGTCATGTTGGACTCTTTGTGACCCCAGGGGCTATACAGTCCATGGAATTCTCCAGGCCAGAATACTGGAGTTCCCTTCTCCAGGGGATCTTCCCAACCAGGGATTGAACCCAGGTCTCCCACATTGCAGGAGATTCTTTACCAGCTGAGCTACCAGGAAAGCCTGGCATGGCCTTCTAAAAAAATGGGAGTCTTGAAGTCTGTAGATTATATAAAGTGATTTTGAAAAGGCTTAGTGAGTCTGAGACTTGAGGGCCGAGAAGAGCATCATCCCCGGTTACCTTAAGGGTAGGGGCAAGTGTTAAATGTCACCTGTGAGACTAAGCAGGAATCATAGGCCCAAATCAGGAAGGGTCTATATGGTCGAGACCTCAGTTCTGATAGTTTGAGAAAAGAGCTCTGTCGAAAGGAACTGGATAAAGATTCAGAGAAGCACACTAAAGAACCAAGGAGGAGATGGAATAGTTTACTATGAAAATAGACCGGAAAAAAGATTAAGTCCCTGGTAGAGAGGCCCAAAATCAAAACTGATAAATATTTATTGACAGAAAATTTTTGTGATATGTTAACTATATACTTACTTATAAAGCAAAATTATGCCCATACATAAAAAATACTTCTTCTACAACTGGTAGTTAACTGCAGGACTGAGTTCTCAAAGAAGCTCTTTGGGTAGAAAATATGAGTAAATATGAGTAAAATTAAGGAGGGTTTGGCCTTTAAGAGATTTCTGATTGAGAGTATTTAGAACATTCTGGGCTAAGTAGAAACTTTTGAATATAATATATTGTGAATATAATATAGAAGTATCATTGGTCTGATCCAAAGTAGGTTTTTTTTCTTTTAATGCTTTGTGAGTCTGTTGTGAAGGAAAAGGAAACCCTTTGGGAATCCTTTAAACTATAGAATGATGGCAAGTAATAACAATGACAGATTGACACCCATGTCCTCCGCAGCCTTGCAATGGATCCTGTTCGACCACGCTTCAGGGGCCTGTCTCCCGTGCACCCATCTCAGTCTGTGCGGATGCCAGGCTCTTGGCCACAAGCTCCAAAACCTTTGGACCCATCTCTGAGCAGGGCAGGACCTGCAGGCAGGGGCCATGTGTTTGGAAAGCAAAAGGAGCCGAGTCCACAGAGTGGGCCAGTGCAAAAGGTACGACCATGTCTGTCTACATAGTAGCAGCATGCAGCTTATCATTAGAGCAAATAATGGATTTCAGGGTACTTAGGAAACTGGGAAGCCCTATATGAAAGCAAGGGTTGTTTTTATTTCCCCCTTTAACAAGTAGTTTCATCTTCTAGGAATATATTTCAAGTTCTTGAATTGCAGGTCTAGAAAAAGTGCCTCATAATGAATGTTAGATGGACTTGGGTAAATGGCTTAGTTTCCTGGCTTCTAAAAGTATAAATACGTACATACATACATGACAGGTTTAAAGATACATCCTTTACTGTTTAGATTTTCACTGTGGGTTGGACTCTATGGTATTAGCAGCCACCGTTGCCTCTGAGGTCATAATTGTTAAGAATAGTTCCTTTCAGAAGGATCTTTGCCCAAATCTTAAAGGAAAAAAGGATCTTCGGCTATTGTTACTGCTGTGTATATACTTATATGGATGTGCATGCTTAATTTCCTGATTATATAGTAATTTTTAAAATGGTTTTTGCCTGTAATTAACAAATTTCAAACAATGGAGAGTTAGCAGATATAGGAGGAACCTAATAATGCAGTTGTCACCATGTTAAGTAGTGTTGACCATGTTAGATGTAACATTGTTCTATAAAAAGAAACACTGATGACAGTAATCCTGTGTTTTCACTCAGATGGATTTCTTGAGTCTATATGGGCGACTCTGATTGGTGTGACAGTAGTAAACTTCCCAGACTGCCACAGGAAAACAGTAACAAGTTTTGTTGAGGATTGTTTAAAAAAAAACACAAAACCCCAAGACTTCTGATACCCTTAAATTACATGTTTTTTGGGAAAGTTTATTAGCTGGTATGCTTATGCCCTCTTACCTTAGGTGTACAGGAAATGAACTAGAAAAGCAGTTCTGTTTTATTTGGAATACTTACATTAAATCCTGAACTATCAGTTCAGTCGCTCAGTCCTGTCCAACTCTTTGCGATTCTATGGACTGCAGCCAGCCAGGCTTCCCTGTCCATCACCAACTGCTGGAGCTTGCTCAGACTTTGTTCATCGAGTCTGTGATGCCATCCAACCGTGTCATCCTCTGTCATCCCCTTCTCCTCCTGGCTTCAGTCTTTCCCAGTGTTAGGGTCTTTTCTAATGAGTCAGTTCTTCGCATTGGGTGGCCAAAATATGAGCTATATTTATGCTTAAAAACCTAGTATGAACTATATTTATAAAATCATGAACTATATTTATGTTTAAAAGCCTAATTAGTGTTCTTAAAACCATAATAATTTAAACAATTTTTATGAAGTACTTTTATCCTTTGTTCTTGACATTTATAGAATTTGAAGTGGACGATTTTTATTATTTACCAAGGTTTGAAGAAAATAACAATATTTCTGGCCTTTTAAACTGTATCTTAGAGTAACATTATTCTTTGACTTTCTGTAGGAGTCTGTGGGTTTAGTCTCAATGTTCCGAGGACTGGGCCTTGAAACAGCATCCCACACCCCTCTGAAACGGGAGATGCTTCCTTTAGGTATGTGGAAAACTAACTTGAGAAAATGTGATGTTGTGTGATGTGATCATTGATGTGATCATTGCTTTGTTCTTAAATTAACACAGTTTATCTTCAAAAAAATTACTGTATTTTACAAAATGTTCAGCTCACAGTTATAGCTGGGATCTGACCTTTCCTTTAGGTAGAGGCATTTTAGGTCTAGGCTTACCTACCAATATGGCATGCAAGGACAAAGAAGAACCCCATCCCACTTATCTGGATCCTTCATTGTTGGCAGCTGGGGATAGCAAGATGGCAGAGGCCTCCGTTGGTTGGAATAGGTGGGTAAAGTTGCTTCCTTGGGTAGCTCTCAAATTTAGGTGAAATATCTCCAAGTCCAAAGAGAAACTCTAAAGTGGGTTATGTTGTCTCACAAGGAAACCGTGCATGGTTTCATGGTAAGAATGGGCATTTTCCAAAAGTAGTCAGTAACTACTGACCCAGTCAGTCTTTGGACAAGGTAAAAGCAGTTTTCCACAGCACAGTTCACCCTGTTTGCTCTCTTAAGGAGTCAGACTGATGGTGCTGATTGTTTATCCCAGGTGGGTCAGACTTCCACCTCAATTTCTGCTATGGAAGGTTGGCCCTCATAGTCCATATTAATAGTAATTGATGAGTGAGTCTTGTTGGCATATTGGATTCAGAGAGAATCCCAATGCTTGGGTCCCTTTTGCTGACTCCTCCAGGGAAAGAATGAGATTTGAGGACTCATTTAGTTGGGAGCATAGATAGAAGCATGATTGAGAAAGTCCTGATTTGTCTCTTTTCAATGATGCAGGATGCTCAGAAGAGGGAATTTGGATGCATCTTTGTTACCAGTGGGAAGAGCAGCTGGTGGTTTAGGCAGAGGAATATACAAGGCTCCCAGTGCTCTCAGCCTGGCTTCTCAGGATCCTGCCCAGCTCTCACCTCTGCCTCCTCTGCCCCAGGCCCCACTATACTCTCTTGATAGCCCTCCACTTGGGACTGCAGAACGCAAGAAGTAAGTCGGGAGTGCTGCCTTCCTGCTTGGGGATGGTGTAGCGGAGGCCGTCTCAGAGGGTTGCACACCCTGTGCTGTTGTGTCTGAAGTCCTCCCTGGTGGTAGGCGCCGCAGGGTTTTTTGTTTTGTTTTTTGCCAGTGAGGAGAATGACAGAAGAGGTAGACAATTCCTAAAGAGGTGAAATGCGGTTAGTGCTGATAATATGTATCAGTCAACTCATGGCTTTTCATTTCCTTCCCAATTCAGACATAGATAATTCCTTGTCGTGTTGTAGATAAAGAGATTATCTGGGAAATACATTGCAGCTGTTCATTTTTCTCTACAGAACTAATTCTTATGTTCTTAGTTAGCTGGCCTAGTTATTCTAGTGATATTACTAGGACGAATATGGTGACCTTGCTGCTCTAATTAGAAATTGCAAGAATTTACCTTCTTTCTTTCAAAGCTTCTTTTGTATGTCTTGAGGGCCTGTATACCTATAAAATACTACTTCCCCCAATCTGTCTTTCCTTCTTTCTTTGCTTTCTTTGTATTTTTGTGGCATGGGCTATTTGTTTTTCGTATCTGTGGGTGCTTTTACTTTTTTATTTTTATTTTCTAGAGAGCTTTTTGTGAAGCGAGGATCAAAAGGAACACCTCAATTTTTGGGATTGAACCTTATCAAAATACAGTGTCATAATGAAGCAGTTTATCAATATCATGTGACTTTCAGGTATTCATAGCTTCCCCCCACACCGTATTTACTTCTTAGAGAGCAGTAAAGAAATAGTTCAATAGGAATAACTGAATTGGTTTTCTGTATAATTACAGAACTTCAAATACTCAAATCCTTGCAATAAGTTTGAAATTAACTTTTCTGTGTGTCTGTTTAGCTATATTACCAATCCAGATTTTAACTTAATAGGCTCAATTTTAAGCATAAGGTTAGAAGTGGATTTTCTTTGAAGCTAATGAAACTTAAGTTCAAGGCCTTTTTGCATGATACTCAGTCGTATTGGACTCTTTGCAACCCTATGGACTATAGCCCACCAGGCTTCTCTGTCCGTGGGATTTCCCAGGCAAGAACACTGGTGTGGTTGCCACGCTCTCCTCCGGGGGATCTTCCCAGTCCAGTGATGGAACCTCGGTCTCTCGGGTCTCCTGCACTGGCAGGCATGTTCTTTACCAGGGGCACTGCCTGGGAACCCCTTTACTTGCATAGACCCCTTCATAACCTTTTAACTTGTCTGTATTTGTATTTCTTTTCTTTAGTGTTACGGAGGGAAAGAAAACAGATTAAAAGAACAAAGGGGAGCATGGGCCATGAGAAGTAGCCAGTGAATTAGCCACTTATTTTAAACGTTTGTAAGATGATTGAGAAATGAAATACTAATTAGAGAGAGCTGGATTGCTTTAAATGATTCTGTGAGGTAAGAAACCAGAGCTGAGCATGTATGACAAGAGAAGGAGCCAAGAAACTGGGTGAAATTGAACTCACAGGAGGAGAAGGTAGTGAGAATGGTCCTGTTCTGGAGCGTAAGGAACTTAGATGGGTGTTAATCCGAGGAAAGTGGACTGACAACTGTTCCTGAAACAGAACTGGTGTGTGACTCCTCATGGATGTCTGCATTGACCAGGCTGTGGAGATAGTGTGGATTCTATACATTTTGAGATTGTAGTTGCAGACCTTTGAGGCTACAGTGTGATGAGAATGCCAGGCCCTTGAGAGAATCCTGAGAGGACGCACTACAGTGACTGGTCGTCCTGTGGATTCCGTGACATGATAGAGCTCTAAAAAGACTTAACTCAAAAGTTGTCTGGAGCATAACGCCTTGTGTATATTAATATGAATTTTTTTGAAGAAGCGTTTTGAAATGTGATCTTAGCATGTGAGTGCTTAGTTTTGGGGATGACTGTACTGGATTACCACCTGAACTTTTTGTAGTTTTTATCTTTCTTCACATACTTGAACACACTTGACCCTTTTTAGCCTTGGGTTTGTTTAAACTTCGAAGTTGTAGGATAAGGTTGTGCGTTACTGTAATCTAATGGGAAAATCATTGTACAACGTAGCTATTGGAATTTTTCAAAACTGTAAGATTTGTGCCAATGAATTGATAAAAAGTTGAAATTGTTGAGTGAAAAATGGTCTAGACTAAAATACTGTTTTTTAAAAATATATTTTTTAAAAAGTGTGTATTTCTACAGATGTTGGATCAGGGATTAGCAGACTATGACCGGCCTGCCAGGCGAATCTGACCCACTGCCTATTTCTGTAATGAAGTGTTGCTAGAACATAGCCTTGCTTATTGGTTTACCTATGGTCTATAAGGCTTTTGCGCCATGTTAGCAGAGCAGAGTAGTTACAGCAGAGACCATATGGCCTCTAAAAGCTTTCTGTAGAAGTCGTTTGACCCACTGATCTAAACTCTCGAAGAATGTACCCTGACATGCTAAGGCAGTTATGTTTGAGAGAGGACTGTTTTTATTTTCTGTGAGCCTTGGGTCAAGAGTTCTTTTTTAGTCAGATAGATATATTTGAATTGTTTAGTATGACCACTAGATGGAGCAGCAGTCACAAGTGACTGTTTCTCTAACAAACCTACTGTCCTGCTGTAAAGTCAAGCTGAAGTAAAATCCTCTTTATTTTCTAGCCCCAACGTGGAGTGCAAAAGCATGAGGTTTGGCATGTTGAAGGACCATCAAGGTGTCACCGGAAATGTCACTGCTTTTGATGGATCCATTCTCTATCTACCTGTTAAGCTTCAGCAAGTGAGACCAAATAGGAAATGCACTTTGGGACAAAGCCAGAGTGGTGGGAAATCATAGTGTCCCTGAACATTTGAGTTGTACTTTCCTATTGTGAGCGGGAGGGCTGACTTCTCTGCGACCAAGAAATTGCAAACTGAGAAACTATTTATATATGAGTTCTTTCTAGTTCCTTCTCTCTTTAAGAGGAGTGGTTGGAAGCCTTTGACCTCAGTGACAAAGAATACTATAAGATTTCAAAATCACGAGGCTCTATTGCTAGTTCTCCATTGGGTGTCTCTTACCAAATCCTCTTGTCAATCCTGATTGTCCTGCTGTGATTTGTCTAGTGTGGACAGCAAAGTAATAAAAATAAAATATGATTAAGATATGTTAGTGTTCTAGAACACAAGTTGGATTAGATTAGGGCTTGGTAATGTCATTTCTTTTTACATACATATGTTTATTTGTTAGGTTCTTGAGTTAAAGAGTCAAAGGAAAACTGACAGTGCTGAGATCACCATTAAGATTCAGTTGACAAAGATCCTGGAGCCCTGTTCTGACTTGTGCATTCCCTTCTACAATGTTGTATTCCGTCGGTGAGAAATGGCTGAAGTCTTATTTTCTTTAACCTCAGTCTTTGTAACAGAGCTCTTCAGGAGCCTTGGATGGTATTAAAACTAGTGTGTATATAAAGAGTTTGGAAATATTTAATAAATAAATGCATGACATTAAAGGCTAACTTATCTCGGGTGATTGGACAGATTTGGGTATATGAAAGTAGATCTGAGGTGGTTGGCTAGAAGGGAATGGGTTCCTTTGATTCATTCAGGAAGTTTAAAAGCAAATGTTGATGGTGTATATTTAGTGATGTTACATTAAACACCATGATGGGTCTACATGAAGAGGTAGTGTATAAAAATTTTTGCTAGAATTTCTCTTGGTCGTTTGAAGGTTTGGATATAAATAGCTCATAATTTTTTATTTTTACTCTTCTGAAAACTCTCAAATTTTCATGAAACTGTTATTCCCAAACCACTTCTTTTATAAAACACAAAACCTGATTTCTACTTAGTAAGCTGAACTACTAGGAACAAACATAACTTCCTGTGCCAGACTGATATTCACAAATTTAGAAATGGACTCTCTTGTGCTATTTTTAGTTAATAGGGTAAAGTAATGTAAATTGAGCTTGGGAAGTCAACTTGATTTTTGGTTACCTAGTTAGGAGAAAAGGCTGCAATCAATTGCATATACAGCAAGATCAAAGCTTTGGTAATTTTTATTTTCCTTTTGGTAAGAGTGTTCTGTACATAAAATCTATATTGTGCAAAGAGCATCAGCCTTTCTGCCCTTTGAGGCTTCCAGAGGAAAATGTAACTAAGTGCACTTGAACTTACTTATTTATTTTTAAATCTTCTACTAGAACACTCATTCTTTGCTCTTTATTTCAGGGTAATGAAACTTTTGGATATGAAACTTGTTGGAAGAAACTTCTATGACCCTACAAGTGCTATGGTGCTGCAGCAGCACAGGTTGGTGCTGGCTTCTTCTTCCTCAGTTTTGAATGTTCTACAAAGACAATCTTCATTGCAGTCACTGTATCAGTTTTTTATGATAGCAGGTACAATTTGTGAGTTAATTAAGTGTTTTATTAAGTTCTGCTGACTTCATTTGTTTCCTATTGCTTTCTCATTGTTATTGGGGAGGGGCAGTATCTGCCCGAAGTATTGCCTCAAATGAGGGCATGGAAATATCTCTGGTTCTTTTAGCATCCCAGGATAAAGGCCATCTGTGTCTTCAGATTGCAGATCTGGCCAGGCTATGCAGCTAGCATCCGGAGGACAGACGGAGGTCTTTTCCTGCTAGCTGATGTCTCCCATAAGGTCATTCGGAATGATTCTGTGCTGGACATCATGTGAGTGGATGGATGGGGGGAATCTGCCTTTGACAAGTTAACAATTTTCTGAGAAGTTCAGTAGTAGCTGCTAATAAATACACATTTAGCCCATTGTTCTTTTTGGGTTTTAAATTGTAGAACAGATTAAAGATACTGAATGGATGTGCTCTTTCTGTGAATCCTACCAAGATAGACATCTGAATAGAGACCTGCTGTGCTTAGACTAAGGAGGAATGTCTAAGTCTGTGGTTGAGAAGACTTGGTGTAATATACACACACCCTGAGTTTTTGTTTAAAAGTATTATTCTAGTAAATATATACTGTAGTAAATACAGATGTGTACAACTTATAATGGCTACCTGAAATCCTACATTATACATAAATCTGTGTGCATCTATAATTTTTTTTAAATTTGGGTACCTAGAAGTGGATTTACTTAATGGGAAGGCCAAACACTTTATACTTCAACTATTTACTATAATATATTTAAATATATATTGATTGATTAGCCTCTAGAAAGCTTACTTTATTTTCTCACCAACTGTGTATAACTGCTAGGCTTATCAGGCTCTTGAATCTTTGCTTATTGGATAAATTCATTCATTCCATCAACATGGATTTATAGAACTCCAGTTTGTGCCAGAGTTTTGGGACTTTGCAGTTAACAAAGATCCCTCTCCTTAAGGAGTTTGCATTGTAGTCAGGTGAGATAAATAGTAAATAATAAACATGGTAAGTAAATTGTGTAGTGTACTAGAAGTGATACAGGCTGTGGAAGAAAAAATAGGTAGAGCACAGGGTAGGGGAGATCAGGAATCCATGGGATGAGGTGCATTGGGATGGAGAGCTGTCATTTAAGTGGCGTGTCAAGCTCAATTGAACCAACACTTGGAACAGGTGAGGGAGTTAACCAGATGAAGATACAGGCTAAGGGCATTCTTGCTAGAGGGACAGCTGAGGTACAGACTTAAGTTAGAAGTATGCCTGGCTCTTTGAGAAGCAACAGAGAAACCGGGTTGGCTAGAGCAGAGCAAGTGAGGTGAGAGCAGTGGGGAGATGGAGTAGATGGAGGGACTGAGGATGGAGAGCTTGGTAAGTCTGTTGTGAAGATTTTCACTTTTACTGTGGGTGAAACATAGGGCTTACAGCCAGGAGTGGCACGGTGTGACTTGAGTTGTGAAAGGATCCCTTTCGTTACTGCTTGGCGAATAGGCTTGGTGGGATGGGGTCAAAGTGGGGAAGCTGGCAGAAAGCTGTAGTACTAATCCGTGGAGAAGTGAGGGTGGCAGCCGTGGTGGTAGTGAGACATGGTTGGCCTCTGGGTGTGATCTGAAAGTAGTGCCCAGTCCATTTCCCGATGGGATGTGGGCTGTGAGAGCAAGAGAGAGGATGACTTGGATTTTTTTGAATGAATTTGTAGTGGTTTATTCTGTCTCTTCTGGACTCTGTTCTTCATGGTGGGGACCATGTTTCTTTTTCTCACATGGTACACCCAGACCGAGTTTATTCCTAGGCTATAATAAGTGTTCAAGAATGTTTGTTAAATAAAAATAGATGTCTTTGAATTCTCTCTTTTTCTTTATGGTTTCTATCTTTGTTTCTGTCCTTAGAAAGGTCTGAAAAAGTGAAAGTATTAGTTGCTAAGTTGTGTCCGACTCTTTGTAACCGCATAGACTTTAGCCCACCAGGCTCTTCTGTCCAAGGAATTCTCCAGGCAAGAATACTGCCAATAATTGCCAAGAATAATGCCAGTCCAAGTGGATTGCCATTCCCTTCTCCAGGTGATCTTCCTGACCCAGGGATGGAACCCAGGTCTACTACTTGTTTATTTTTATTTCCAATGTTTTAAACCTTCTGAAACTTATCTTGGTATGATGTTAGGATTATCACAATTGTTTTGGTACTGTTACACAATATACTGAAAAACATTTTGTATTTTAAGTGTTTCTATTGATGAATCAATTTTCAGTGTTACCTTTTTTAAGGTTTTTTTTTGGGGGGGGTCTTTAGTTTTCAGCAGTTCACTGTGGAGGTATACCTCATTTTATTGTGCAATGCATTATAGTGTTCTACAAAATGAAAGTTTTGTGGCAATCCTGCATCAAAATAGTCTATGGGCACCATGATTATATTTGTTATGATGATCTTTGGTGTTACTATTACAGAAAGATTACAACTTGCTGAAGGCTCAGATGATGGTTAGCATTTTTTAGCAATAAAGTCTTTTTTAATTAAGATGTGTCACATTTTTAGACATGATGCTCTTGCATACTTAATGGACTGACTACAGTATAAACTCAACTTTATTGTGCATTGTGCTGTGCTCACTCAGTCATGTCTAACTCGCTGCTTCCCCATGAACCGGAGCCCACCGGGCTCGTCTGTCCATGGGATGTCCCAGGCAAGAATACCGGAGTGGGTTGCCATTCCCTTCTCCAGGGGACCTTCCCTACCAGGGATTGAGCCTGCATATCCTGCATTGGCAGGCGGGTTCTTTACCACAGAGCCACCTGGGAAGCCCTTTATATACATTGTGCTGTGCTGTGCTTAGTCGCTCAGTCATGTCTGACTCTTTGCAACCCCGTGGACTGTAGCCTCCAGGCTCCTCTGTCCATGGGGATTCTCCAGGCAAGATTACTGGAGTGGGCTGCCATTTCCTCCTCCAGGGAATCTTCCCAACCCAGGGATCGAACCCCGGTCTCCCACATTGCAGGCGGCGGCTTTAACCATCTGAGCCACCAGGGAAACCTTATATGCACTAGAAAGCCAAAAGTTTTGTGTGATTTGCTTAATTGTAGCCATCTTGAACTTAATTGCAGTGTCTCCAAGGAATACCTGTAATGGTAGTTTCCCAGTGTTTCTACTGCTTAGCCCTCACCTCAAGTGTGGGCTGGATTTATTGACTTCTCTCTTTTCTTTTCTTTTTTTGCCATCTGGATCTTGGTTGTGGTGTGTGAGCTCTTCATCGCGGTGCATGGGCTTTCTCTGGTTGTGATGTGCGGGAGTGTCTCTGGTCGCCGCACAGGGGCTGCTTGTTGTAGTGTGCGTGCTCCTCTTCTTGTGGCCTGAAGACTTAGTTGCTTCTTGACATGTGGGGTCCTAGTTCCCTGAACAGGGATTGAGCCTGTGTCCCCTGCATTTAAAAGTGGATTCTCTACCACTGGACCACCAGGGAAGTCCCTGACTTATTTCTAATGAATGAAAAGTGGCAACAAACAGCCAAGTCAAAAAATGGGCAGAAGACCTAAATAGACATTTCTCCAAAGAAGGCATACAGATGGCCAACAGATACAAGAAAAGATGCTCAGAATCACTAATTATTAGAGAAATGGAATCAGAACTGCAATGAGATATCACCTCACTCTGGTCAGAGTGATCATCATCAAGAATTTTACAAATAATGAATGCTGGAGATGGTGTGCAGCAAAAGGCACCCTCCTCTACATTGTTGGTGGGAATGTAAATTGGTGTAGCCACAATGGAGAGTAGGGAGGTTCCTTAAAAACTAAAAATAGAGCTATTATATGATCCAGCAATTCCATTCCTGGGCATACATCAAGAGAAAACTCTTTAATTTGAAATGACACATCTACTCCAATGTTCATAGCAGCACTGTTTACAATAGACAACACACAGAAACAATTTAGATATCCATTGACAGATAAATGGATAAAGATGATACAGTATACAGTGGAGTTATTACTCACCCATAAAAAAGAATGAAATAGTGCCACTTACTGTGACATAGATGGACCTTGAGATTATCATATTAAATGAAGTAAGTTAGAGAGACAAATATATGGTATGACTTATATGTGAAATATTAAAAAAAAGTTACAAATGAACTTACTTACAAACCAGAAATAGATTCATAGACATAGAAAACAAACTTACGGTAACCAAAGGGGAAAAGAGGGGAGGGATAAATTAGGAGTTTAAAATTAACATACACACAGTACTAATTATAAAATAAACAACAATAATCTTCTGTATATCACTGGGAACTATATTCAGTATCTTGTAATAATTTATAATAGAAAATCTGAAAAAGAGTACATATATATGTATAATTGAATCACTTTGCTATACACCTGAAACTAACACAACATTGTAAATCAACTGTACTTCAATGAAAAAAGAGAATATGGCAGAAGGGATCAGATAGAATATCCCTTTAAAAAAATTGAGATGTAGTTGACATATAATGTCGTGTTAATTTCAAGTGTATGGCATAATGATATATGTAAACACTGTGGAATGGTCACCACAGTAAGTCACTGAGCCTTGTTAGCATCCACTTCCAGACAGTTACAAGTTTTTCTCTTGTGGTGAAAACTTATAAGATTTGAAAGCAGCTTTAAAGTACACGGTGTACTATTATTAACTGTAGTCACCATGTTGTATATTACATTCCTAGGACATATTTATTTTATAACTGGAAATTTGTATCTTTTGCCTGTCTTTACCCATTTCTTCTATTTCCTGTCCCCTGCCTCTGGCAGCCACCAGCCTGTTCTCTGTATGGATGAATTGAAGGTTTGGTTCCTTCCTTCCTCCCTTCCTCCTTTCCTTCCATTTCATACATACATGAAATCATATAATATTTGTCTTTCTTTGATTTATTTCTCTTAGCATAATACTCTCAAGGTCCATCCATGTTGTCCCAAATAGCAGGATTTCCTTCTTTTCCTTACAGCTGAATACTGCACTGTATGTTCATGTGTGTGTGTGTTTAAATAGTATGGTTTCTTTTTCCGTTCATCTGTCCGTGGACACTTAGGATGCTTCCCCGTCTTGGCTTTTGTAAATAATACTGCAGCAAACATGGGAGTGCATGTATCTTTTTTGAGTTGGCGTTTTTATTTCCTTCGGATAAATACCCGGAAGTGGAATTGCTGAATCGTGTGGTGATTCTATTTTTAGTTTTTTGAGGAACCTCCATACTGTTTTTCAGTGGCTGCACTAATTTACATCGCCTCCCAAGTGTATAAGGGTTCCCTTTTCACCACATCCCCACC